TGGCTGTCGTCACCGTTATTTAATCCATCAGTGTCTGGCAACTCCGCAGATTCTTCGGACGCCTGACTTTCAGCGGGTGGGTCATCAGTGATTTGTGAAGGGGTGAATCACCACCGCCTTTGAGACCACCTCGGTAGGTGAAAGGTATTACAGGTGGTGGACGTATTCGCCCGCCACCTTTAAGCCCAGTAAGCGAACTGATGGAACCGCCGAAAAGTCCGACCGCAGCGTCCGTTTCCATGGCGGACGAGTCGCCATCACCTTCCATCTCCATGTTGAGATCAGACGTCTGCAGTGGCATGTCTACCTCCATAGATTTTTCGGGTTCCGGGTCAATAAGACCCGCCTCCGCTGCGAGTGCAGCGAGGGCTGCGTCGGTGGTTGCTGGTTCATCAAAAGATGTGGAAGCTAAATAAAAAGTAAATAAAATTTTAGTGAGAATTATAAATTAAAAATCAAAAATATCTACCGATTGTGGTTGCTGTTGGTTGTCGTGGACGTGTAACCATCATAACTTTGGCAGGTTCTCCAATAGTTGTAGAAACAGTTGGAGTAGCGCTGACAGTCGGAAGGCGGATGATCTTTCCGGCACCGGCGCCCGCCGGCATGATTATCGTTTTCCGCGTGCCGCCGTCGGCAATTTGTACAGTAACAGGTTTACCTCCAATCATCATGTGTTTCTGAAACCACAATTAAAAAATCAATATTTTTAATTTCAAAATTTTCAACTCAACTTACAAAGTGTGGCATGATGATGGGTTTCCCAGCGATCTTAACATTGGGTAGATTTGCAACGCCCGCCTTCGGTGACATAATATTCACCGTCGAAGCCTTCGGCTGGGTGACAGTGACAGGCTGCGCGTTTGAGATGGTCTGAATGTTGCGAATGGCAGTACCAGAGCTGACAACAATCACCTGCTGGTTACCGATTGTCGACAGACCGCCAGCGGCGTTCTTCTGCAAAACAATCTTGTTCGGTTTGTTGACGATCATGTTCGACGGCAGCGTTTTCACAGTGGTGAGTAGCTTATTAGCAGCGTTCTGAGGTACAATTTTGACGATATTATTGGATGAGCCCGCGCCTTGGATAATCGGCGTTTGAATAATACCACCGCCGGTTTTGGGAATGGTTGCCACCATGCCGGTGCTCGTCTTTACCAGAGTGACGATCTGTGTGGGACCCTTCTGCACAATTCCGGTACCTTTCTGAACGATTACCTGCTTGCCAGCCATCTGCGGATTCCCTTGACGGATGATTGTACCAGCAGTTGGTATTTTACCACCAGCTACACAAAATAAATTAAAATAAAGTCCAATTCTGGTTGTATTTTAAAACAACTAACCTGCTAGTTTGATCGGTTGTGCCCCAGTTACCGTTATCTTCTGTGTGGCAGCCGCCGCAGCGGCCAAAGCCTGAATACCAGACATACTGGCCGGTGTCTTCACCACTTGCCCATCAGCCGTAGATGTCGGCGATAAAATCTGCGCAGTTGGCAATACAATACTACCCGGAGATGCGGTCACCACCTTAGGCGACGCGTTACGCACAACAAACTTACTTCGCACCATAGGATTTATAATCCGCGGCGGTGATGCGACCGCAATGGGTCCAGCCACAATCGGAGCATTTGCTACAATCTGTGGCGCCAGCTTAATCTGATTTTGCTGTGTCAATTGCACCACTTTTGGTGGAGCAATTGCCCGTACCGTAGGATTGGCAGTCGCCACCGCCTTCGTCGGCGCAGGTGTAGCGGCCGCAGTCGGCGGGAGGTCATACTTCTGAATCTGAAGGACATAAGTCTGCGTAGATGGCAAACCATTCCAATTGACCTCTAGTGAATTCGTACCCGCCTTAACAAGACTCACTCGACCCGGCGCTGAAGGTTTCTCTACCTCCAGGTACCACAAATCCTTACAACACACCTGGTTATTCCACGCCTTGCGGTAACCATCCCTGCCAGACCACACATAAAGTCTAGTGTTGATCCCGACCGCGCAGTGTCCCGCACGAGCGCACGGCAGACTCTGATCGAAACTGCCAATGTTCAAGTCGTCCCAGTGCATGGTCTCGAGATTGAGACACGCCATCGTCCCGGTGCATTTCCACTCTTTCTCGCTGTTAGCGTAGTTAGGCGTCTTGCCATCATCGTTGACCACCGGCACCCAACCGCCGAAAACATACATGCGATTGCCGATTAGTGTCGACGTGTGCAAAGAGCGCGGAAGGGGCGTAATGCCCGAGATCTGCGGTTTGCTCCACGTGAGCGTGTTGGTTTCGAAGAACCACAGATCGCCCAGGCGACAACCGCTCATACCGCCGTAGATAACTAGGTATGATTTGTTGGTGCTCTTGTCGACGAAAGCGACACCCGTATGCGACTCGCGCGCGGGCGGAGGTGACCCATTTGTGATTGGGATTTCCCATTGCACCGGATTCGAGCGGATGTCCAGTGCGTAAAGATCGTTCAGGTACCGCGGGATGTTGTTTTTGGGATCTTCGCTCTCATTCTCCAACCCACCGAAGAGGTAAACCTTATCGTTGACAAGCGTGAAACTATGGCCGAGTCGAGCGCAAGGGGGTTGACCCACTTTCGGTGGTTTTGGCTTTAATTTCCGCCACTCCCAACGGGAAGCCTTCACAAAATATTCAAATAAATACAAAAACCGAAAAACATTTTAAACTATAAACGCACCTGTAATTCATATAATTCACTGCTATATTTTCCATACTCTACCATGCCACCAAAGATCAACAGGCGCGTGCCATCGACCACGAAACCGTAGGCGGCACATCCTGGTGGTACGTCCCCTTTAAGCACAGGCACAAACCATTGATTTGTGGCTGTAAAAAAGAAAGTTTAGTGTGCAACTGGTTGCATATCAAGGAATAAATATAAAAATTAATTCAAGAGACAATTTTCTGTTGCATGCATTAAAATTATCTGGTATTATGCTAGAAATTGACGCTTTTTTATCTAGTTCCAATTAGATAAAAACCACAAATGTCGCCGCAAACTTCTAGTTTACATCCAAGCGACGCCATCTTATAGTGATAGCAAGCAAATAACAAGCGAGCGAAATTCAAAGGAAAAAAATCTATAATTCGGAAGCGTTGGCCAATTTCCATCGTTTGCTAATGGAAACTGCTATTCGATGAAGTGTGGCGTTTAAATTTCGAATAGCCGCGCGCGGAAAAAAGCCGCCCGTTGCCAGTATAAATAACAACAAACATACGCGCGCGCGCCATGTTTGATGGCGGCGGGCCAAATCGCTCGCTTAAATACCTGTATTGTAAACGTGCAGTTCGTCGACGATGCCCTCGTTGCCGCCGCCAAAGACAACCATCAACTCCTTAATGGCAACTGCGCGATGACCGTGCCGCGGCCGTGGTTGCGGGCCGGCCGGATCGGCAACACATTTCCACCGTAGAGCCTTACCCGCCATTATGTGATCACATTGCACTCAAACCATACGCCAATTGAGTTCGTGCTTCGCCTGCTTGGCTTGACACTTTCAAACCGCTAACCTCAATGTTTCTTGCGCGAACATAAAACGACTCGGCCGGAGGAGCGAGCGCGGCTTCCTCGCCCGCTTTGCACAGCTCGTCGGCGCGGCGCTCCTGCGTTGGTCGGGTGGCGCGCGCGTGCGGCGATTCAACAGCAGCCGCTAGCGCGAAATTCGGCAAACAAAGCTCGCGCAAACACTGCGTCGCGATCGTTTCTTAAAATGGCGGACCCAAACTTTCATCTCATTGGTCGAGCGGCGCGCGGCCGTGTCGACAGCGCCCTCTTCATCATTTGTTATTTGACATTCGCCGTCCGACAGTTGGCGCCAGGTTTGAAATTCCCAAAATCTGACCCAGCGCCACGAGACACGACGCGGCAGTATTGAAGCATCTGAAGACGCGGAACCTCGGCGTCGCTTCCAAAGGTCGCCTCCAAGAGACAAATATGCACTGCTCGTAAGTCACTGTAGAGACGGATTGGAGTAGTCATCGATCAAAAGTTTTAACAGATACTAGAGACAAAAGCCGCACACTTCACATCATATGCTTAACATTTCTCTCTTCATTTTCAATAAGGTGTAATTCTCCATGAAACATTAAATTAATTTATCAAGCAAAGAAAACAAATTATCAAAATGGCGGATATGCCGCGCATTTTACAAGGAATATTACTCTTTAAATCCTGAATCAACGACTTGGGGAATACAAGCTGTGAGAAAATTGTACGCTGCGGAGCAATTCGACTTCCATTAATTACGCCAAACAATTTTTATCACGCATATCAGCCCTCGGAATATCTCCGCGCAAATAAGCCAACCGCCTTGATCCTCAGTAATATCCGGATATCTCTCAACCACGCGATGCAAATCTAAACTCATCATATCATCATCTGTCTTCACGACTTCCGCCATCATAATAATAATTTCTAAAAGGATCGTAGGCTCGCAGGGACGGTGTTGTTTGAAAACCAATTGCAACTTTCGCGCTTCTCTTATTATTTATTGCCGCGACCACCTGGCCTCCTCGAAAGTTTTAAACGAGATGCGTTTGGACAACATGGCGACCAAATAACGCTTCGCGACTAACTACTTGAGCTTCTTTCATGATTAGCTCAAAATTCTCATCAACCAATCCCTTGCCAATCAAAGAAATAATCCTCCAGAGTAGCGGTAACCGTTTCCAACGCAGTACTGTCGTTAATCCCACCGCGGCCGGAAAGATCATTAAAGTGTTTGTCTACATCCAGGAACGCTTCGCAAGTAGATACGAACTTGATTCAGTTCGTAAATCCTATAAAAACATCATATTTACAAAATATAACACAAAATCCATTGAAAAACATTTCTTACAAAAGATATATACCTTTATGGTACTCGAAACACGATCCATCTCATTGTACTAGCGGTTCCGTACTTTTGCCGTGTGCACACCCAACTCAACCACGGTTGGCAGGGCTTGTTGTGTGTTGCCGATGCTGAAAAACGGAACTAGTCTCCTATCTCAAAGTGTCTCTGCTTGAACTCAACGGTACGTACATCCTCGAGTAGTTTTCCACATGTCGAATGCTCAAAAACAGCGCTTCGTTCGTAATCTCTTGATTAATGGTCTTGGTGACTTCTAAATTCTGTCCGATCATTTCGAATATAATAGACGGACCGGAAGTGCGCAGAATAACATCCGGAATAGGCGGAACATGCGATTTCCACTCTTGAACTTCAGTCTCCAATGTTTTCTCCAACCAGTCGGTGTAATTCTTCTCCATGTTACTCAAATACTGTTGTTTTAAGTTCTTTAGAACTGCATCCTCTAGAAGTGGAGGGAGGGTTTTGGTATGTTCGATAAGATCGGGATGTCCCATTAATTCAGGACCAAGATAGGTGTTTAAGGTCCAGGCTAGAATGGAGACGTATTCGTTGCCTTCCAGACCATTCTCGATTATTTCATTAAGCTGCAATATATTCAAGAATATTTAGAAATAAATCTTTTAAATATAGCAAAAACATTGCTTACCTGTTTTGATAAACACTTATGATACATTTTAATGTACTCATCAATGATGTTATAAGAGGGCGGAAAGACAGGAACACAAAGTGTCTTCACCACACGCAAATCTTCTAAAATTAACTGTCTGATGAGCTCTAAATATCTCACCAGCCATAATTTATCATCTGCTCTTTCTTCTACTAATTTTCCTTCAATTCTCAATGCGACTTCTTGTTCCAACACCTTAAACGCCATCTTTTTCCATTCTTTTGGACGCCCAGGTGGCATAAACCCGTTGTTTTTATGCTGTTTAATCGCCTCTTCATCGCTCTTCTCTTCTCTTTCGATAATTCTCAACGCTGTGACAATAACAGTCGGTTTCTTCCTTACTGCATTCAATGTCCGCGTTAAATTCAACCGTAATTGTCCTTCTAACTTAGTAGACAAAGTCTCCACTTCAGAGAAATATTTCTTCACAGTTAAAACTCCCATGGATTGATTTGGAAGTTTATGCAACTCAAACAGCAAATCATCCCGAGAGTTTTCTAAATCTCTTAGGCATTGATGTGTATGCAAAAGTTTACCATCACTAATCCATTGATTAGTCTTTTCAATGCTTTCTGGTACAGTGAAGATGTGTTTAAGGTTTTCTTTTGCAGTGACATATTGAGAATGACGCATATTTTCCTCGCGAACTTCTCGGAGATTGTTAGAGAGTGTTGGGAGTGTTTCAAAGTACTTGTTCATTGATTTTAAACTAAATTTAAACATCAATTAGGGAAGTGATATGAAATAATGAAAAAAATTGAAATATTTACGTTACTTCCACCTCTTTCATGTCCACAATGCTTGTTGCTAATAAATTAAGGCCATCAATTACACCATTGAGTTGACTCTGCATTGCTGATTTTAATAGTGCTTCAACAGATGCTTTCTTTCGGCTGTACCTTTTCTTAAACATTGCTACCTTCTCCAGCTGGCCAGGACGCTGCAGCAGGTTGACAATGTGCTTGGTCGCGTCTTTTTTCGACTCCACGTCGAGTTCTTTCATGTTCACTTTACTTCTTGCTGTGTAAACAAATAAAATCATTTAAATTTCCATTTTATACAGATTAACACAACTTCTTATTGTTTTCAGTAGATTAAATATTAAATTGTGACTTACGATCAACCATTTTGTATGTTTTAATGTCTTGCAACTAATAATTATTGGTAAAACATTATTTTAGCGACAATTTTTCATGTTTTTAGTGTTACACATTTAGGCTATGTCTTGATTCATCAGCTGTCCACTTGTTTTAAATCTGCGCATGCGCAATCCCACACCATTAATGTTAAACTTCACTTCTGTTGCAATAAAATTGAATTAAAGGAGTGGAAACTGGATATTCTCTTTTCTATGACATTCTATAAATTAGCTTATATTATCAATACATTTATGCCGTAATCAGTTTACACTTTTGTAATTTGTTCGCGAGAGAAGATAATTTGACATCGCACCAATTGTTTCAATAGCATCGTAAATGAAGTACAGCAAACATTTGCACTTCACTTGCGGCCATTTTTCCTTTTGCCCCAGCTGCCACTGCATCATAATTACATATTTATAGTCAATGTGGGGGTAAGAATCGATGATTATTTACAACAAGCTTCTAAAACGCCATCAATTTCATTCTCTCTTTCTTTTCTCTTTCATGCTTCAGACTGAATAATTTTCGTCATCTCAATGCGTCAATAATGCTGCAATCATATTTACTCGATATGCAATCGTTTTGTAGCATTCAAACACGTCATTAACTTTGGAATTTCTGCAAAAGTGTAAAAACTCAGTTCCCACACCACTAAACCAGTCTACAGCTATGCGAATCAATCAGATACAATACAATAAACGTTAAATACATAGTCGTCTCATCAAAAGTCTAAAAAATAAATATATGCGCGACTCGGCGGCCTCTGATTATATAAATGTATGATATATATCTGAAGGACTACTAATACTCCTGTATGTATACTTAAATTATTCCGGCAAACATTGTTCGTTATAATAGTATTTGTTGATCAGCTTGTCAGATTTAAAGTTTCAGAAACGTATTCTTATTGCCGATAGAATGTATCATTAGACCGAACGGAATTTGTTTTATATAATGTGTTTTTGTTTTCTTAATTTTAAAGCAAATCTATACCCATTCGGTCGGGCTTTGGAATTCGGAGTGCGTGAATTGGATTCTGCACTTTCTTTTGTGAGCCCTTCCGGACTTTTGGCACGGACTTCCTCCGGTTTCTCAGGCGCACGAGCGGTTTCTTCTCAGGCGCTTTCATCTTCAGACGACAATAGGCGACTGTGGACAAAAATAATAATAAATATTTAATTGCAAAGCACAAACAAACGCTGGTAACTTACGGCGTACTTACTGCTATTAATCCGAATTAATTTTAAGATAAGTGTTAGGGAAAAAATGTTAAAAAGAATGAGAAGAGGAATTTTTCGGTTTTGAGATTTACAAAGAAATAAAGATAAAACTTACAGCAGCAATTCCTGGTTGTCGAGGATATTTCGTTGAAGCGACGTAGGAAACCGTCACCGTCAACACGACAGCGTTCATCAAGTTCTTCGCTGCTTGAATTAAAGATGTTGCTATCAACTGTAAAATATTAAAATTATTTATTTTAGAAGGTTTAAACGACACTACATAGACGCGATGTCGCTGACAAAACCTAAAACCCGCAGAGAGAAGAGTAAAATGCTTGAGACGCGACTTTTCTGCAGGACGACTCTGACTGGTCAAAGCACCGTAGATTTTCTGTGTGGCGCTTGACTACCAACGGACTACCCGCAAAAAGTGGTGGTGGTAGATGCAACGTTACGCGGCTTGCGTGCCTAGCATTGGCACGCGCACATACCTCCACCACTTTTCACCACTAGCAACTACGGTGCCCTGAACCTGAGTCCTCCTGCAGAAAAGTCGCGCCAAAGCTCTCCAGGCTCTTCTCGACTCTGTTTTCGGTGTGTCGTGACGTTTTCTGCTAGTAAAACACAAATATTTTCTCCAACTTACCCCAGAAACAATCAATTCTCCACTGATATTCTGCACATCAGCCTTCACCTTGCTGGTGATACTAATCTGATGACAATACAGATTAATCCTTTGTAGATACGCCAACAGATCTTTTTTGGTAGAACTCTCGGGGCATTGATCCGCAATCTGCTTCGTCAGCTTATCAAGTTTATTACCAGCCTCGGAGATCTTCTTCGCCGCATTGATAACATCCATGGTAGTCTTGAGCGGGCCACGTCCTCGGGTAAAATCTGTCATTTCCATCATAATCATGCACATATGCTTTGCCAGCACGACAATATCATTGCCAGTATCGTCCCACTTCGCTACCTCACGATCAAACTTGAGCTTCTCCGAGCGGAAGAACTCCACTTGCTGCAGAATCTTCTGTTTGTCTTCTTCGGGCATCTTACCCATAGCTTCACGAGCTGTGGTAATACCGCTAATGTCGGGGTACTCATCAACGCCGTGTTCACCAGTGTGTGCACTCGCTAAAAATCAAAAATTTTAAAATTAAAAAAATAAAAAACAACAAATTTTATTAAACTTACATTTACTCCTCGTCTCCAAAGTGTAATTCTCATCCAATTCGACATCTTCCGGATCCAAATCTTCATCAGCGCGATTCATAAGCACCGCCCTTCGAATTTCCCTCACGCCATCATACACCAAACGCGACGCATCGATAAAATCATTCTCATCCACATCTTTCTGCGGATTACTAGCAAGCGCCGACACTGCAACCGACACCCTCTGCCCAAACTTGGGCATTACCTGCTCATTCAAAACCTTGACAGCTTCCAGCACCCTCTTGGTGTAGATACACGGTTCGTAATTGTCCATTTCAGCAGCGACAACATTACAAACTCGCTGTGAACGTCCTCGTATACCGCCGGCAGTACGTTCCAGTGTATCGCTATCGCCCTCCTGGAGAGCCAACACACATTTATTCACATCTTCCAGGATGTGATTCTCGGACACCGCTAGGAAATCATCGATCGTGGTAATATCATCCACGGCTTCAGTCAGAATGCGCACTTGGTTCTCCCAAGCCTCCTTGAACGCAAGCATATTCTCCTGTGCTACTTTACTACGCGGGCGAACTGCAAGAATGCGCGCAGCGTTGATCACCTCCGGGCACAGATTGTCAATCTGCGCGGCGGCGTAGCGCACCATTTTGACGCCGTCTTCGTTGTTGGACATGCTGCAGACAAGATTGGCGACCTCGACGAGTTTATTCGAATGTTCTGTGAAGACAATTGCGTTTTCATCGACTTCCTTTTCGTTTCCAGTCTGCGCTGCTTTGATAAGGATCAAAAGCGGCAGATTTGTCTCCAGAAAACTGTAAATTTATCAATAATTAATATCAGGAAGTACAAATGAGTAGACATTTAGTTGAAACTCACTTTAGAGCAACAAAACTTTGCAAAAAAAGAGAAATTATTGAACAAACTTTGCAAATTTCAGATTATTAGTGAAAAAACACTAAAAATTTGCTATAATTACCTGTCGGAGACATGATCTACCACTGCTTTGCGTAGTTGACGACGCAAATCTTTAGTTTTGCGTCCCATGTGGTCGATAGCACGACCCAGACCGTCGCTTGGGTCCTTATTACCCATCTGCAACGCAACAAATTCATGCTACAATCAAAACTTTGCAAAACTCTCACACACAAATACACACATTGTGCTAAGCTTGATGATTGAAGTGATTGTACAAGCAAATTTGTCAGATTACGTTGGTTTCTTTGATGTTTGAGTGTAGAAATTAAACAAAAGTGCACAGAATCAAACATGAAATGGTATTTACCCGTGTACCTCCATGTAAAACTTGCAATTGCTGAGGGCGCGAGGCAAGTGTTAAACAAACAAGACCACACACACGAGATTAATGAGTTTAATGTTAAATTCGCAAACTTTCCAAATGCTGAATTGAATATTGAAAGTATTATGTATTGAAAAGTGTGTACTTACGTTCGACATGTATTCGGAGAGCAAGTCCTGGAGGGCTTGACGCACTGCGTTGCATTCAGCAACAATACGTTCACGGCGTTCATCACGCGTGCAACTTGAATCAGCCATTAGGGCCGCGCCGCTGATGATGCTCTCCAGGCGTTCTTCAAGTGAAGGACGAGTGTGGACTTCATTGTAGGCCAGTGGTTCCATTTCCATACGTTCCTAAAGATTTAAAAATGAATTAGTTGAAGAAAAATGTGGAAAATGTTATAAAAATCATAAATGTAAAGCAAGTTATTGTAAAAGGAGATTTTGAAGTGAAATATAATGTTTTAAAACAGAATTTTGACTATTTTTTCATTATTAGGTATAAATAACACCAATACTCTCAAAAATTTGCATTAAATGGAAATAATTTTGTCATTTTTAAACAAATTTTTCTAAATTCTGGCTAAAATAATGCTAGAATATCAAAATCTGAACTATTTTTGCATATTTAGCTATAAATTAAACAAAAAAATCGCAAAAATTTACACTAAAACGACGTAATTTTGTAATTTTTGAATAAATCTTCCTAAATTTTGATCAAAATAATGTTAGAACATAAAAATCATAACTAATTTTGCATATTTGGCCATAAATTAAATCAAAAATCTCGAAAATTTACCGTAAAACAACATAATTTTTTAATTTTTGAACAAATTTTCCTAAATTCTGACCAAAATAATGCTAGAACATAAAATTTTTAAACTAATTTTGTATATTTAGCCATTAATTAAATCAAAAACTCTAAAATTTACATAAAAACGACGTAATTTCGTCATTATTGAACAGATTTTCCTAAATTTTGACCAAAATAATGCTGAAACATGAAAATCTTAACCAATTTTGCATATTTAGCCAAAAATTAATCCAAAAAAACTTAAATTTTGCATTAAAACAACATAATTATGTCATTTTTGAAAAGATTTTCCTAAATTCTGGCCAAAATAATTCTAAAAATATCAAAATCTCCCATTGAAAGCAGAAAACTTTTGTAAAACCCTTCAAAACAAACTTTATAAAAGCCTCTCAACACACAACATACTTCCTCACGTGCAAGCACGAAGTTTAAATGTTCCCTATCTGGAGATTGACACAACTAAATTAATATAATATAGATTTATATAAAAAGTACAAAATCTAACAAAAAATTTACTCACATCAAAGTCATCCAACGCCGCAGCAAGTTCCCCAGGCCCATCATAAGGATTCTGCGACGGTTGTGGTGTACGCCCTTGCGCTACATCACTAATCGTGTTCACCGCCTCGCAGACTTGCTTCAAAACGTAGTCGCGATTGGCTTTCGCCGCCGCCAATTCCGGATGACGCACGTAAACCTTCGACGCCGTCAACAACATTGTCGAATGCTTCTTGAGCACTGCTCTGGCCGCAGCAAGATCATCCCGGAGCTGTGGATCTTTCAGCTCTTGCTGACGTTTCGCAGCTTGATTCATAAGTTCGTTTGCATTATGTCCAAAGGCTTTAATATTGTCTAAAAGCTCTCCTTGGCTTGAAGCATCGCGTAGTTTCTGTAAGTCATCTTCAACGACGCGTAAAGACTTGAGCAAAAGGTGTACATCCACCATGTCAGCCAGAATTAACAATCTGGTGACAGCAGAGAGTAAATTTCTCGCTGCCCTCACCATGTTTCCTCTCTTCAGAGAAGAACAAGGATCTTCGGAGAATTCTCGCGCTGCAATACTCATCGCATTACCTGTTTTGCGGACTTCGTCAACAGCGGAGAGCATCTCCTGCGTAATATCTTTGTTTTCATACGCGATTTGTTCACCTTTCTGGATGAAATTCTCGGTGGCTTTCTCGACGGTGCTTACAAGTGCATTCGCACGCTTAGACTTGCCTTTCTTTTTCTTGGATGGACCCTTGGTGTTAACCAATGTGGTCACTTGCAACACCAGCGGTTCGAGTGTCTTCTCCACAGACATGGTGCGAATCTCCAAGTTCTTGGGATCCCATTTCAGCCCGAAGTGGTCGGCCATCGTCGGTGGTTGAGTTGTTGAGCTGCAAGACAAACAATTGACAATCACGACTGCGACTTGCTTGTTTGATTGTGTGCTGAATGACGAAATGGGCGTTGTAGTCGTAAAGGTGTACGTACCTTTCGTTGGCACAGTTGAGCGGTGTGTAAACGGATAGAAAAACACTACGGATAGAAATCGGCGTGAAACAATGCGCCCGCACCAAGTATGAATCACATCAGTGCGTCAGCGTCGAAGTGTTGGGGATGATGAGATGATTGCGCGGTGCTGCGGGAAAGACGGCGGCACCACTCCCACTCAAATTGCTGCGCAAGTATCACGCACCGCGCTCTTTCCCACTTATTCTATTCCATAAATCGCCATCTTACTTAGAAATACTTCCAGTATTCAACACCAGGTAGCGTTGCCCTGCACACAAACTGGAATTTCTTATCAATTTAGGCAAGAAAACAACGCAACATGTTTAATTTAATAAGTATTACGTAGATTTAGTGTGTAGATATACTGATATCTGTTGATAAATGCGCGAAATAAAATATAATGCACATTTACTACCTTATTAGGGTTAGCTGGCCTTGTCGAGTGGCATTTGTTTAATGAATTTAATACACACGTTCCACTTTCATTTCTCTGCTTCTCGCCACTAGTTAGCATTAAACAATCGCCACGGCCGTGTCTACGGATGAAATGTAGACCGGCGCCGGAACGCTGATTGCGTTTGTTTTTTCTAGTTGTTAATGCGCTTGATACGAGTGGATGATTTTAAAACAAACGCGCAGCGCTTGGTAATTCGTTCAAATGACGACGAGTCAGAAGCGCAAGAAGATGCGCAACTATTTTACCGTATTCGCCGTGCTGGCAGTATTACTCGCCGGGTTTATAATTTACGTTTGCGCACCCGGAACAGAGACATTACAATTAGTACACGTAGTAAGTACATACCTGAGTAGTAATTAAATTAGTAAAAAACTAAACTGTGAGAATGGAAATTTTAAAAGTTGTTTAGACATGGCGAACGCTCACCGTCATCTTCATATACGAATGATCCGTATAAAAACCACAAATGGCCGGGAGGTTGGGATCAGTTGAGTATTGTAAGTTGGTTATGTTAGACATAACCTCAAATTCAAAGTGTGTTTAAAATTTTAAGACTGGAAAGAAACAAGAATATGCGTTAGGTTTAGAATTGCGCAGAAGATACCAAAACTTCTTACAAAATGAATACGATCCGAGAGTATTCCTTATGGAGAGTAGTTATGCTGATAGATGTTTGATGAGTGCACAACTTTTACTAGCCGGGTTGTTTCCACCCTCTGGTGGTGAAATCTGGAATGAAAATTTACGTTGGCAGCCTATTCCGGTACACAGCGTACCAAGAAACATGGATAATGTAAGTGATTATTATTTGATTAATAATAAATTGACTAAAAATTTAAAAATTTATAGAAAATAGCAATAAAACGAAGTTGTCCTGCATTCCAACGTGCTCTCAACGAATCCTACGCGTCTCTTGCCGAATCAAACGTGGAAAACCGTCAACTTTATGATTACCTCTCCGAGAACACCGGTGATGAAATTCGTGACATTCGCACATTGGAAACACTTTACAATACGCTGGAAATTGAACAGTTGAATGGTTTCCAACTCCCCGAATGGACAAACAGCGTGTTTCCCTCAAAAATGAAAGACTTAGCGGCGTCCAGTCTTGCATTGTTCACTAAAACAATCGAAATGAAGCGGTTGCATGGCGGTGTGTTAGCAAAAGAGATTCTTACCAACATGGAGATGAAAGCCTTGCAGAAGTTAACACCTAATCGCAAAATGATCATGTATTCCGGGCATGATTTAACAATTGTTACACTGATGAGAGTTTTCGGGTTTCCAGAATTGATTAAACCCGATTTTGGAGCGACAGTTATCATTGAATTACATAAATATACAGCGGAAGAGGATCATATAGTTAAGGTAAACACATTTTAAAAGATAATTTTGATATTTGTGACGCAATTAATTTGGTTTTAGTTCTTTTACTTGGAAAATCCAAATGGAAAAGCCACAGAACTACATTTGGAAGGTTGTCGACAAAATGGTTGCCATTTGACACGGGTAAAAGAATTGCTGCAACCAGTATTACCAGAAAATTGGGAACAGGAATGTCAAATATAAAAATGCTCAAATTACACAAATAAAAATCATAAAATTGATACCAAAAAGGCCGCTACTTGAATATCAACCATTTTGGTTGCTGAAATAAACACAAATAAAATATTTTTTTAATTATATTGAGTATCATACTGCATATAATACATCGAAATAAACTTACTTAATGTAGCGGTTTTTCTGTTCGTTAGTATTTGTTAATTGCTGTCTGTCATTGCGCACGCAAAAGTATTATAAACAAAAGAGAAAAAATACATCCGTACACGTACATGTACGGAGAGCTATCGTTATACAGATCTATCAATAGACAACTAAATTGTATCAACCGGGGCAAAATATAAAGGCGTCAAAATGTGGTAATTATGTAGTAAAATGTGATCGTATGTAATAATGTCAATGTTGATTTGTACATAAACTTGTCTCGTGCGTGTTGTATATATTGCTTTGCATTGATTGTTGATCGATGAGAATAAATAGAAGTTGAGAGTTCACGCGGGAAAGATTCTGTGATGTGTGTGTGTGTGTGTACATACATATTATAAATGAAGAAAAACAAACAAACAACTAAAATAAGACATTATCAACTAGATAGATAATATAAACATGTTTTGATCAAGGAAATAAATGTGTCGTCTTTGGTTTAAGAGAAGATCTGTACAGAAACAAACGAAAGATGAGAGAAAAACATAAAAACAAAATGGCGGTCGGGTGAATGTGGTGTGTGTGGGTGTGGTTTAAACTCGATATTCATATAAGTATTTGTTACGAATCCCTAAAACTATAAGACACTGGTATATTCGAATATTTCGTCGTTCTCCCGCACATAAAACTGCATTCCAAGGCTTTTTACTATCACTCATTTAGTGCTTAACGCTGAGAATTGAATCATCGATCAGATCTACTCTATCATATTATATCATTCCGTGTTTGTTATTAAAAGCTGCCGAATTCTTATGATATGTCGATATTGTCAATTCGTCATATTTAAATCTATGTATTATAAAGCTATAATCACATTTTCATTTCAATGTCAACCAGAATAAGATGAACTGTGTTTGAAAAGCAAAATGTGCTCGGTTACGGTGTGGGTTTGATCAAAATCGCCGTTAAAAATTAATCTCATTACATTTTACAATTATAATACAATTTACACAAGTATTACGGATGAGTAGAAGCACTTGGTACGAATATTAATAACTACTAAACTCATCTCCCCCTCCTCCGCTCGCCGCGCATAACATTATAAAATACCTTTGAAATATTCGAGTAAACAAAAATAGAGCATCTGCGAAAAATTTCGTTAATTTTGGTTTCTCGTTACGCATTCTTTAGAAATTTTCATTTTTATCACAATCATTTTCTTAATAAATTTTTCATCTCTATGTTTGACATAAATATTCAAGCCAAGTTGTCGGTTGTAGTTTTTTTCGTTTTGAACAAAAATCGTATCACAAATTCATCATCTTGCACAATATCTATCTATATATATCTGGACAGAAAGGTGAGCAGCAGCCTGAGTGGTTCGGATCGGCGGTGTGTGTGTGTGTGTATTTAGATGTGTGTTGAGTCGGATGCCTTACAGATACAGAATCAATGATAATGAATTAATTACAATCTACACCTATCCAGGCCACAAAATGGCACGCACACAAACATATTTCTTTTTCTATCGTTTTCTCTGCCTTTTTTTCTAAATATAACCTCAAATGTTTTCCTTGTTCGTCATTATTATTTTTTTACTTTAGCTTTTAAGTTCACAGCCAAACACGTTTTTAAAAAACTTTTTACACAACTAGTCCGTAAACAAAATACTGAATTTCGTTTTCGTTTAATAATGTCAATAATGCTAACTTGTGCAATCATGCGCGCCGCAAGCGCGACTCTTACTTATGACTTAATTCACGATTTTTTTAGATCTATACAACAAATTTATGGCATAAATAGGTGTGAATTTCTTCTTCTTTCTCTCTTCCTCCTTCCCCCTCCACTCTGCGTCGCTTTGTACACTATACAATCGTATATAATAATATTAATAAGAATAAACCTACGGCATTGATTAACATCTAATAAGTTAAATTCTTAATTTCACACTCATTTACCCCACCGGCATCAAATTATTATCGTCGTAATCTTCGTTTCAACATTCGTCTTTTGATTCTCATTACCTGCTTGGTTTTGCAAAATTGCGTCATTTATAAATATCTCTTATGTACAGCACTAATCTATTCGCATAATAAGCAATATTACCTTGTAAATTGTAAAAATAAAGACAAACATATGTAAGCGCGCCGACTAAATAAGACTAAGTGCGTAGTTAAAGCAATCGATCGATACAAAACGCGTGTATCTGTATATACTTAATGTAAAACGTGTCGAAAATGCAATGTGTGATGTCATACAGACCGTACTCAAGCGAATATCAGTTGAGGAATTTACGGCAGCGACGCGTGCCGCACGAGCACGGTATTTTATCCTCTTCGAATGGGAATTTGTAGTCGTAGGTGAGTTCTTCGCCGCAGATAATCTTGCGCAGCGCAAAGATAATGATGTGTTTGTTGCCGAGGATCTCAACGACTTTCGAGTAACAATTTGGCTGTAAAAATGGAAAACAAACATATGCAACCCACATTACATTTCAAAATGGCGTATAATACACTTACGTCGCATGAATGATTGATGAATCTCGCCGCGTTGCCTTTCATCGTCGCATCCACGACGAGATTATCGTCAATGCGGAACATGTAGCAACCGATGCCTTTGGTATTGTAGTATTTTTCACGTTTATCAGTTAAAACTGAACGAATAACCTGCAAATTTAAACAACAATTCATGATAAACATGTATAAGTAGAAAGAATGTAGAAAAACTAACCTCTCCAGCATATTCAATAACCATTTCAGCTGATTCAATATCTCGAAGGGGAAAACAAGCCTCTGCCGTGAATGTCTGATCTATAAACACCAACGGAATACTTGGAAATCACCCGGAGAGCTCTGAATCGCATCGCCATTGGTAAACTACTGCTGGCATTTTTCCTAAACAAGTTATAACATTAATTTAACACAAATTTCTTCAACTTTTCAGGTTACTTACTTCAAAATGGCGTCGAGATCATACATCTCCAAAGTCCTATGTTTGGAAGACAACCACCCGAACATGTCATACTTTTCTCGATGATTATCATACGCTACACATCTCCTCGCGCTGTCTTCATCGTCATCATCTTCGAACTGATACGGATCTTTAGGTTTATGATACAGTGGTTTGTACTG